TTCATTCCCCTGGTGTGGCGTCTATCAGCTCTTGAATTTCTCCAAGATCCATATCTTGAAACCCTTTACCCCTACTTCTTATTTATTTATTTATTTTCTGTGGCCATATCCACAATCTCTTTCATGATTTTCTTGATTGGCTCTGTTGTAAATCCTGTGAAGTCACGTACAACATCTGGATGGTTTTCTCCAGCAGGAATTTATTGTTTTGGGCTTGATGGCTTTCAAGATCTTTTGTAAAATAACAATGGCATTTTCAATGGCGTAATCTTCCCAGAATTTCATGATGTTCTATCGAGGTTCTCTTCCATCGTGTTGACAGTCTGTTCCATAAAGTACTGTGTAATGAGCCTTAAAGGTCCTTAGGACTCCCAATCTAGAGGCTGAATTAGAGAAATTGTGTTTGGGGCCAAGCAGACCACTTCAACACCTTTGGTATGGAACTTATGGGGTCCTGAAAGGCCAGGGGTATTGTCCAATATCAACAGGACTTTAAAGGACAGACTCTTACTGGCAAGGTATTTCCTGACTTCAGGACAAAGCATAGATGGAACCAATCCAGAAAAAGTGTTCTTTTTGTCCAAGCTTTCTTTTTGTCCAACTAGAAGACTAGCAGCTGGTGTTTATCTTTTCCCTTCAAGGCTCAGGGGTTAGCAGCTTTATAGATGAGGGCAGTCCTGATCATAAACCCGACTGCATTTGCACAAAACAGGAGAGTTAACCTATCCCTTCCTCCCTTAGATCTGGTGCTCACTTCTCTTCCTTACTAATAAATGCTTCTTGTGGCATTTTTGTCCAGAATAGGGCAAAACAGTCCCGGAGCCTGCCCACATGCAAGGGGAATAAACTCCACATCTTGCTGGGGGGCGGCAGGGAGTAGCAAGATCTCACTTTACCAATAAGAATGTGGGATTGGAGAGATGGTGGTGGCCATCTTTGGACAATAATCTGCCACTTGTAGCCCATAGGGGAGCAAGGTGGGGATTAATGCCCCTAGGGCCATCCTTAAGCAATGAGGGTGAAAACTGGTGGATAAATAAAGGTCTCCTGTCCTTCTGAGGGACAATTCGAAGGAGTATTTGGCAGGTTCCTCAGGGGATCCCCAGCAGGACTGAGCCCCAATTGCCCAAGTGAAACTAGTCCCACACCTCAGCAACGTGCTGAGCCTTTTGCTCTTTCCTCATCTTCATCATTGATTCCCTTTCTGCTACTTCCTCCAATCAGCTCCTGGTTCTGGTCTTAGACTTTGCTCTCTTGGGAAAACAAGCCAAGGCACTCAGTTTCCTCATTTGAAAAAGACCCTTAAATTGGGCTATAAAACATTGCAACTGGCTCCTAGGGTTGTTGAGCAATACTGCAGGAATGGATGTGAAAGGGCCTTGTAAACTGGGTGGCTGGGAGCAAAGGTGAGGGGTCACTATCAGCAGAGGTATCCCAGGGAAGCTTGGGGACTTGGAGTCTGCTGGGTGGGGTGGCCCTGTCCCGCAGGTCATCAGTCAGTGGTGGCTGGGCTGCCTTGGGGATGGTGAGAGGTGAGGACAGCAAGATGTGTGGAGACATGAAAAGGGCTGCAGACAGAGGTGTCTCCTGGAGTGTGGAGAAAGGTATTCTGTGTCCCTGTCCTGCCCACTAGATTCGAGTGACTTGGCACAATTAGGTGACTCACCAGGCCACCACAGCCTGCAACAAGGTCCCCAAGATCATCCACCCGGCTTTGCTGGGACTCGCCCTTGTGGAATGAGCCTTGTCCCCTAATTTGGCCTCTGCCCAGGAAGAGAGGGACTCAATTGCCAGTGGGAGGATTCAGGACTCTGGTTCATTCACCCTCCATTGAGTAAACACTGAAAAGTTGAGCCCTTCTCCACCGCGGGCATGGTGGTAGGGATCCAGAGGTGAGCAAGGCCCTCCCAGCTCTCTCTGAGGCCCCCAGTTAGGGCAGGTACAAAAGCCCAGGAGATAGGCAACTTGAACAGCATCATAGCAGCCCGACTTGCTGAGAGGAACTCTGGGCACAGAGGAGGGACATCTGACCCAGAATCTGGGGGAAGGGGCGCAGGTAATTGTGGAGCTCTTCTCAGGTAAGCTGCTGGCCACCTTTATCTCAACAGGTCCCAGGACTTAGCCAGGATTGAGGAAGAGCATATTCCAGGCAAAGGAAATGGCAAGGGCAAAGATGGGGTGGCCTGGCTCATTTGACAAATTCACTGTGGCTGGAGCCCAGGAAGAGGTGGAGTTGGGTGGAAGATGGGACTGGAGAATGACAGAGCCCCCGAGGAGCTTAAAATGGGAGACCAAGGGGGTCAGATCTGAGTTTGGGAGGCATTCCTCTGGTGGCAGTGATGCAGTGAGGTAGTCGAGGTGGTGTATTCGTGGCAGGAAGGCCCCTAAAGGGTCTCATGCATTCGCTTAACAGATGTCTGTGGAGCCCCTACAAGGTGCCAGGCCTGTGCTGTTGTGGGGACCCAGGCGAGGAACCGTAGCGGCCTGGATGGTGGCCAGGAGAGAGGGATTAGGGGCAGAGGTCTTAGGAGGCATTCTCACTGTGTTGCACAAACACGTGCTGGCAATTCACAAACTGGCGTCTGGCTCCTGGACCCATTGTGTATGGATTTGGAAACTGGGGACTTGTTATTTCAGGGGCGGAGAGCTGATGGGCAGGGCTGAGCCTAAACTCCAGTCCAGTGGTCCTAGAGAAGAGTAGCCATGCCTGGAGACTCCGCCCAGAGCACCACAGCCCAGCCTGCCTCTGCCTCAGCCTCAAGAAAACTCCAGAGTGACCGTGGCTGAGGATAAGCTTGACTGGCCCCTTTCAGTAAGGGGGTGACCCAGACATTCTGGTTTCTTTCTGCCAATCCTGGCATGTAGCTAGGTGGCCCAGGCAGGACCCGGGGTTTATGCTCTTTCTCTCTTTCTGGGCTCCTCTCCTCTCGGATTGCAGACTCTCTGAAGGCAGAACTCTCCATCAGACGGTGAGCTTTCTGAGGATGTCCCCCAACATCAGATTAAGAACCTCCAGTGGGTAGAATGAGGAATGGGAATGCAAGTCAGGAAATCTGTAGGCTGCCGTTTGATAAGTTTGAATTTGTGAAAAATCCTACAATTTGCCTCAGTCTCTCCATTTGGAAAATGGGGTTAATAATACCTGTTGTGAAGATTAAAAGACATAAAGATAGAAGAGACAAGATTAAGAGCCTTGGGAGACATGAACAAGACCTAAGTAGGAGGCACAGGCCACGAAGAACAGCCAGAAATGAGAGCAAAGGGAGCCAGGCCATAAGCTCCACTAAAGGGGAGATTTTTGTCCATTTTACACACTTGTTTTCCAAGGGCCCAGGAACAGGGCAGGAAGGCTTTGGGGAAGTAGCAGGGGAGGGCCAGGGGCTGGGGGCTGCAGGGAGTGGGCCCCTGGAGAGGGACTGTCTGCCCTGGAACCCGTGGATCTCCGGGGTGGAACAAATGTACCCCATGGGCTGCAGGTGCCACTGGCTCGGGTTATGAATGTGGCATCAGCAAGGGGATTTCCCTGCCGGCGTCCTCTCCCTCCACCCAGCCCACTTCTACCATGTCCTGACAGCTCATGGGTGCAGCGATGTGAGATCTCACTGACCCCGACCACCTGCATGGTGACCCTCTTCTGCTCTGGATCCCGCAGCAACCTGGGCCTCCTGGGCGCTGCCCGCTGCTCCAGCTGCCGCCCTCCCCTCCCATTTCCAGGCCTTTTACTCAGGTATCTCCTAACTAATCTTAGCCACAGTGGCCCAAGACCACACCTCCAGCCCAATCTTTTGTTTGTGCTTTGTCATCTGTGAGCACAGGTCTGTGTAGCTGTGCCTTGGAAAACTCATACTTTCCAAGCCTTCACCTCCTTAAACTGGAAAGGGGGCCAAATAAACTGCTAAAACCCATTTTTGTCAAAGGGCTTTGGGAAATGGTGGAGGCCTAGATAGAGTGCTTAGTGTGATGGAATTGTTATCTGGAGGCTAGAAGGGGCCAAAAGCAAACCAAGAGAACCTGGGGCCTGTGGACGGGTGGGTGGGTGGGGAGAAGTTTTGGCATAGGGTATCAAGTGTAGAACGGCTGGTATTTTAAACCCATACATGATCCTTTGGGAACACATCCATGCCTTCATGAAAAAGGTGGTTGACTCCTGAATTCGAAGAACTTCTAATTTTTCCCAACGACTCAACATTTTGACTAATGGCCTCTGTGGTGTGGGGTAAGGGGCCCTGAAGTTGTTGTAAGAGAGGCCAATCTCCAAACACTTGAGACCATGAAGCCCGGCAGATTCTCCCTTTAAATGGATGCAGCTGGGCCCAACTGAGCCTCATGACCCTTCTCATAGCTTCTCCAGGCCACAGTGCCCGCCCCTTGAGCACAAAGGCCTGGTCTCTGGCCCACCTGCTTGGAGATGGGGGCCCTTCCACAGCCAGGCGCGCCAAGCCCAGACTCTTCCCCCTCCCGCCCTGGTGGCCATGGGAACAGCCCTGGGAGCAGGGTTGCACGGGTTTGAATGCATCTCTCTGCCTGTTTTCTTGGCTATAAAATGGGGTGTGATACCCACCTCACAGGGCTGTTCCAAGATCAAATGAGTTCTCAAACTCATCTGAGATCAAATGAACTCATGTTTAATGAGTATGAGGCATGTGGACGGTGTCTGGCAGACTGGGTGACGTGGTTTGTCAAGATCACCCCGCCTTTCTCCTGCTCCTGACTCCTTGCTGGTTCTCAGACCCCCTTCTTTAATGTTCCCCCCTGATCCTCATTTGGACCCATCTACTGTCACCTCCTCCAAGAGGCCTGTCCTGACCACCTCATCTTAAGTAGCCTGCCCCTCTTCTACATCCTTACCTCTTTCATGTTTTCCTCCCTTGAGACCCCCTAATTCACCTCGTGGCCCTCAGGCTGTCCTCAGTCCTCTGCCCCCATCCCCCCCAGGCTGGCCCCCCACCTTGCCTCTCCCCCCACCCCCCAACCCCCAGGCCAGGACACATCAGGCTGGCTTGTCCATCTCATGTTTTATTGTAAAAATGTAAAATAAATTATATTTGACATCATTGCCACTATGTACATACAGCGTGTGCAATACAATGAGGGCTGGCGACACCCCAGCAAGGTGGGGTGAGCAAACTACAATGAGCTCATTGAAACATTTCACAGAAAACTAGAAGGTCACTGTCCTTCTCACCCTGTGGTGGGGCCACCGTATTCCCCTGGGTACAGTATGGGGGGTGGGGGGTAGACATACCCGCCTATCACCGTCTTCACATGTCGGGGTGGGGCTCTGGCCCATTTGGCCCCACAGTACTGGGGACAGGCTGTGAGGCACAGCAGGGGTTGGGGGTCAAGGGTGATCACTCACTTCTGCCCAGCATCAGTTGCCTGCGACAGATGCCCCTCCCCAGCTCTGCTGGCCTGCCGCTCAGTGCCCTTGCCCCCTGTGTGTGGGGTCTTGGTCCAGGTCACCAAGGAGGGCCTAGCTGAGCTGGGGGCAGGAGGAATACTGACCAGCCTGCGCCCCAGGACCCTGCTCTCTTACCTCCTCTCCCCTCTGGCTCTGAAGCTAAAAAGATGTCAGGTATATAAAAACAGCAGTTTCTTCTGAAAAAAAAAAACAAAACAAAACAAAACTCGGGGCTGAGTGGGCCAGCCCTAGGGTGTGCATCATGGGGACCCCATGGCTCCGCCAGCCCCTCACAAGGCAATCTGGGTACAGCTTCACATTATCTTTTTGTTCCTTCCATTGCAAATTCTTTCCTTTCTTAAACACAGATAGACGTACACACACACACACGCATGTGCGCACAGACACAAATGACACACAGTGGCCAGAGGGAGGAGCTTGATTCATGTATTTGGCCATCCCCATTATGAACCAAGAGCCAAGAGCAACCTGGCCTCCTGCTGCAGGAAGCTAGGAGGGGTTAGGAGCTTCAAGGTCCTCTTTCTGGGCTTAGGGAGTGAGAAGACAGCGAGACAGGAGGTGGGGACAGAATGGTCCAGAGCTGAGCTCACTCCTGCCAGCTCCAGAAGCCCCAGCCTCATGGCCATGGCCTGTTACGCTCTCTTCTAACACTTCCTGGGCAGGCAGAAGGTCTGTCTGCCATCGCTTGGCCAAAGGGTGTCTAAGACAGAAAATTGGGCTCTGGGCTAGACTGGGTCCAGTAATTTTACAAAGGCTAGGACCCTGGGCCACACAGAATTGCTACGGGTCCTATGTACAGGGAATGTTTAGCAAGCACCCTTTATCTCCTCTCCCTTCCTCTAGGCTGCCTCTTCTCTACTGAGATTTGCAGTAGGGGCCTGACAGTCAGGCAGAAGAGGTGGTTTGGGGGAGGGTTAAATGCAGGCCCTGCTACTACTGAGGCACTCAAGTGCCCCGCATCCCACACCGCAGCTGTCCCCTCTGCAAAGCAGGACCCAGGGCTCACATTGCCCTCTTTCCCTTTCCAAAATGCCCAGCTCAGTACCAGGCACACAGAAGGAGCTCATTAATACTTGTAAACCGGCTAAAGAGAACCACGTGACATTCTCAACCGAGTGACAGGCAAAGACCTGGGCAGGAGCAGGCCTCCTTGGGGGTCAGTCCTGCCAAACCACACACACCTTTGAACCAGCAGACACATCAGTGGTGCTCAGGACAGATGCCTCCCACTGCCAAGGTGCCCCTGCAGCGGGAGAGCAGGCCCTGTCCTGGGTGTGTGCCATGTTTAACCAGTAGCATCTAGCTGGAGGGGATGGAAGGTAAGGAAGGCCCTTGGCCCCCCACTCCCAGTTTCCGGGCTGTCTCCCACCAGGAGCTGGGCTCCCAGTCATAGTAGGATGCCCCAGGACGAGGGAGACAGAAGCCAGAAGGTGGGGTGGGGAGCCGGCCCCTCCTCACGTGCCTGTAGGGCCACCTGGCTTATTATACTCGTTCATTAGCTGCTCGTAAGGCACAGAGAGCTCTGACTCGGTGCTGGTGAAGGTGGACTCATCTGAGGAGGGGACCTCGCCCTGGTTCAGGGGTGCCTCAGCCTCAGCACCTTCCTGTGGCCTTTCCTCCCCAGCCAGGTTGTCCTCCAATGAGGACTTGGACGTTTCCTCATCTGAGAGGCCAGGCTCCTCGCTCACGAAGGTGATGCCGGTGTTCTGGAAGATGAGAGGGTGGTAGTCCTGCGTGTCCCACGGCTCACCCTCCTCACTGATTCGGTCCAGCTGGTTAATGAACACCTCAGGGGTCGGAGAGCTATCCTTGGGGGGCCCAGCCCTGGCCTCCTCCCGGGGGGCCCTCAACATATGGCCTTTGCTCCTCAGTGTCTGAGATACCTCCTCCAGGCTGGGCACCCGGTTCTTGGAGTAGACCACCAGTGGGGGCAGGGAGGTGGGGAGGGCTGGCAGCCCAGCCCCCTGAGGCCCTAGCCCTGGTGCTGGGACCCTGTCCCCACCGCCGCTTGTCTTCATTGCCTTTTTGCCAATCTGTTTGATGAGGTCATTGTAGGTCTCCTCCTTCTTGGATAGGAAGCTGAAGATGTTGATGTCCTTGGATGCTGTGCGCCCGGCCACCTGCAAGGCCTTCTTAGAGTGTGGGGAGCTCTCGAAGGACTCCTTCCGCCGTCGCCGCCGCTTCTTGATGGCTTTGTGGACCTCCACAAACATGCTCACCTTCCAGTTGACGAAGAGGGACAGCCAGGCCAGGCCCAAGTAGATCCAGAGCTCCACGAAGTAGCGGTACAGGGCATGGTAGTTGGCGCTGGGGTTCACACCTGAGGACAGGACAGGAAGCCAGTGGGTCAGCAGGGACCCAGAAACATGCAAAGGCCCCAAGCGGCGTTATCTGAGAATAGACATGGCCCCCAGACACCCTGGGGTCACGCTGTGTAAGAAAGGAGGCCTGTTCTAGAAGGACCTGGACCTTGGCCCAGGCACTCACAGCCCTGTCACAGTCCCCAGCCCACCTGAGCCTCAGTTTCCTAGACCACCAAATGTTAGGAGAGTGGCTTCCTAGGGTAGGGACGCTCAAGGGGGTGGGGCCTTGGGGAGGCTGTTAATGGAGCTAATGCTCAGGGCAGGATATAGTTCCTCAATGTTTGCCTTCCCATCATTCATACCTGCTGTTCTGTGCCCTTTGTTTGGTGTATGTCTTGGTACAGTTAAAACCAGGACAGAAATTAAATGAGGGGCAGCTGTCATCCTCACTGCTGGGGAGAGACTCTCTGGATGAACATGAAGGGGGCTGTGGCTGGGCTCAGAGGTCTGTGAGCACTGCCCCCACCCGGAAATATTCTGGACAGCTTGCTTCTCCTTCGTGAGGACTGGCCTGCCTCCTGTGGCCTGGGTTTCCTGCTGCTGAGCCCTGCTCCGAGGAGGCCGCCCAGGTTGCCCCACGCAGCTCGGGCTGCTCTTCTGCACTCCAAGAGTATCTGAGATTTCTTGTTTGACTTTACACTCTAGGGATGTTGATATGTATTATTACATACTCACTATCCTGTCCCCTGGCCTCCCAACTCGGAGAAACTTAGAAAAGGGATTGTAGGAAGGGGACTTGCCCCAGAGTGGGGCTCCTTCCGGGCAAGGACGGTACCTCCCTTACCAAATTAGAGGTTCCGTGAAGGCAGGGGCTGTGTCTCCCCCTGCAGACACAAGGTACGTTTGAGGGGTGCCACCAATCTTGCCCAGGGCTCTTTGTCACAAGCAGGGTATGATGACAGGGCACACATGGAGATAGCCGGGTGCTAGCGTCAGCTCCCTCGTTTGATTTGCCGCTGCCCTGTCAGGAGGGAGCTATTTTTTTTCTTTCTTTTTTTTTTTAACACCAGTTTTACAAATGAAGAAACTGTGGCAGAGGTTTGGGTTCTAGGGAGAGCTGAGAGAGAATGATTAAATATACTCTGTACTTCCCCAACACAAAGGCTTCTCCTTGGCCTGCTCAGGGCGCCTTACACAATGATAGTGTTGTGCCCCTGTCTAAATTTATCTCCCAAGACAGCAGGCCTAGATCTGCCAGGCTCAGAGAAGTGACAGGGCTCTCTGTCCTAGGCCCCCCGCCCCCCTGCACTCCCCCACTTACAATGCAGCAGGAGGGTGGTGCCCTCCCCCCGCCCCCCGGGGCAGGGGCTGAGTTCAGCTGGGCAGGGGGGTCAGGACAGCCAACAGGGTGTCAAGATGCAGAGCCAAGAGGCTGTTCAGGCCACAGGTGCACGTCTAAGAGTGGCTGGGGCCAGACAGACAAGTCGGCCGCAGAGTCTTATCACCTGCCTTGATTAATTCGGGGAGGAGCGGAGGGAGGGTCCGGCCGGCTGAGGGGGCAGGGCAGTTTAGGAGGCCTTTCTTGTCTTTAACCTGCTTGGGGCAAGAGTAAAGTTTCGGGCCTCTAGAGAGCCAAGCCTCCAGGACGGCTCCCTCAGCTCCTGCGAATGAACCTAAGCTTGGGAGACAGGGGGAAAGAGGAGAGGAAGAGATCAGACCCTAAACACGAAGAAGAGAGGAGGCAGAAAAAGCCACAGCCCAGGAAAGGGAAGTCGAATCTTACGCAATTACACTGTGATTCCCTCTTGCATCTGGCAGGGTGGGGTCAGGGCCCCAATGGCCAGTTGTACTGAAAACGGGAGAAGTGGAAAAAGAGAAGTGGAGAGGCCCAGGCAGAGGGCGAGGGGCAGGACTCACCGGCCACAAAGTCGCCGAAGCCGATAGTGGAGATGGTGATGAAGGAGTAGTAGAGGCCCTCGATGTAGTCCCACTCCTCAGTCACCATGAACACGAAGGGTGGGATCACCAGGTGCACCAGGACGCCCCACACGATGAAGATGGCCGTGCACGTGATCTGAGCCTTCCGCTGGTGGGGTGGGGTGGGGGACCAAGTCAGGCAATAGTGGAGACTGTGGAAACCCAGCAGGGCACCCAGAATGCCAGGGAAGCAACCAGATGGGAGGCCAGCGGGGTACCACCCCTGGCTGGAGGCTCACCACCAGAAGAAGAAGCAGGGAGGGTGTTCCCAGCCTGACCCAGGAGGACAGGGGACTCTGAAACCACCCATTTGCCATCTGTTCTAGCACCTTCTGTCTACTTCTTAGACCCCTCCCATGCTCCTCACCAGGGTACCTCCAGCCCACCCATCACCACGGGTTGGGGACGTACCAGGCTAACGCCTCTTCTGGTGAGGAACTGGCCCAATCTCTTGGCACGTCCCCCGAAAAACTTGCCCAGTGCACTGATCCACGTCAGGCAGAGTGGCACCCCGAAGAGACCATAGAAGACACAGAAGAGGCGCCCAGCAGGGGTCTTGGGGGCCACATTGCCATAGCCTGAGAAAGAAGAGAGTTAAGTCAACAAAGTCACAGTGGTTGTGATGGACCCAGATTCAGAGTGCCCCCTGCCTCCAGCACACACACACGCACGAGCGCAGCTTAAGGGAAGGTCATCCTCTAAGATAACATGATATTGCTCTACTATCCATACTTAAGAAATTAAATTTCCCTTGCTCACATGATGAGCAAGTCTTCCAGTGGTCTGTCTGGCCTCACCATGTAAATCAGAAACAGCCTTCTCTGGGTAGACACCCCAGTGGCACTGTGGCGGACGGTCTCCCAAGATGGCCATTCCCTTCTTACGTAAGCATGCTGCTGCTCACATCAAGCTGGTATCGAATGCCCCTCCCTCTGAACCTGCACCTCCTAGTGACTTGCTCGGCCACAGAATGCAGCACAGTGACACTGGGTACGCGGGGCCTAAGAAGCTCTGCTGGCTCCCCCCTTGATCTCCTGAAGTGCTCGCTTTGGGGATTCTCCCTCTTGGAACCCAGTTGCCATACTGTGAGATGCCTAAGGCATTGTGGGTTCATTCCCAGCTGAGCTCCCAGCCAACAGCCTGCATTAACTATCAAACATGTGATGGAAGAAGCCACCTTGGATGCCTAGCCAGTTGGGCTCTTGGATGACCCCCATCCCAGCTACTATGGCTGCCACCACATTAGAGACCTCAAGCAAGAACCAGCTAGCCGAACCCAGTCACCCCACAGAATGGCCAGAGAATAAGCAGCTGTGTTTTAAGCCACTAGCTTCTGGGTGGTTGGTTATGTAGCCATGGATAATCAGAATAGATACCCAGTTTGGTGAGCAAGCAGGGTTGAGTTTGTGCAGTGAGCAACCTGTTCAACCTCGGGCACAGCTCTGGCTATCAGCCTGTGTCATCTGTGCTCCCAGAGCCCAAGTCAGGACTCCTGGAAAACAGTCTCCCAGGCAGGGCTAGTCACCAGGGACTTACTAAATTCCCAAGAAAATATCACAAGGACTACAACTGGCCTGAGTTTACCCCTGACAAAGCCAGGTGACCAGAGCTGGATTCTTATGAAGTTCTGCGGAGGTAGGGCCCGGTCCCCGCAGACTTACCAATTGTAGTGATGACCGTGGCGGCAAAAATCATTGCATTGGGCCAATTCCAGTTGTTGAAGGTCTGGTTCCCAGTGATGGCCACACCCTGGCCTGCAGCATCAGATACTACCTAAAAAGAGACACAAAAAAAGTCAGAGAGAGGGCCAGACGTACACCTTCTATGTGCCAGCACTGTATGAAACTCCTAATAAACATGCTTATTAGATCATCATAATATCAAGGTGGCAGTTATTGTCTCCACTTAATAGACGAGGACTGATTTTATTTTATTTTTTATTTCGGTATCATTAATATACAATCACATGAGCAACACTGGTTACTAGACTCCCCCCATTATCAAGTCCCCACCACATACCCCATTGCAGTCACTGTCCATCAGCATAGTAAGATGCTACAGAATCACTACTTGTCTTCTCTGTGTCCTCATGTCCCACCCAACATTATGTGTGCTAATTGTAATGCCTCTTATTCCCCTTATCCCTCCCTTCCCACCCACCCTTCCTTACTCTTTCCCTTTGGTAACTGTAGGAATCATTTTATGTTTCTGAAAGGATCAGAGAGGTTAAGCTATTTGCCCAATGTCACATAGCTGGCAGAATATTAACCTAGGTGAGGTGATTTGGCTCCAAAGTCCATCCTTTCACTGAGTCAGCGCTTCTCAAACTTACTAGCATGCACCAGAATCACTTGGAGAGCTTGTGAAATACAGACTGCCAAGCTCCACCCCTAGAGTTTGATTCAGTAGGTCTGAGAAGAGGCCAGAGAATCTGCATTTCCAACAAGTTTATGGGTGACACTGATGCTGCTGGTCCCAGGACAGCACTCTGAGAACAGCTGCCCTAGAGCATTTTGCCTCTCAAAGAAGGCAGATGGGAAGCAGACCCAGGAGGGCCCTGTGCCCTACCCAGCTCTCCACAGAGCAGTGCTCTACTGCAGGGCTGGCCTGGGAGGCACCATAGACACCCTTCATGCCCACTGTTAGGGCACCTGCTGGCGTCAGCTCAGCACTCTCTTACATCTGCCATCCCTGGATGTACACATCAGCTGGCTTCCTGTTCCCCACGCCTAGGACTCTATCCTCTCCCCACAGATTCCCATGACGTCCCTTCTTTGGGTCCCTTTCTCTCTGCCCTGGGTTGAGTAATTTCAAGGTCAGGGCCAGGACAGATCATCAGAACATGGAGTGTACCTTTCAGGGTGCCTCAAAATCGTGCTCTCAGTCCCCAGAGAATTCTCAGCAACTGTGGGAAACAGGCAAGAAGTCACCTGGGAAAATCTACTAGGAGGCTTCATGAGAGGCCTTATCTATCCCAGGAATACTGAAAATTGCCGAACCTGTTCCCACCTGACCAGAATAAGCCTCTACCCCAACCCACCAATGGCAGGCCTGGACCCCAGAAGAAGGCTCACAGGAAAGGGCCAGCATTGGCTCTAAATCTTGGGTTCCAGTTCTGTCCCTAAGCAGGACCCCAGGATGGGCCATCCAGCCCAGGGTCTAGGAATTCAGCCAATTTCCCTACAAAAATCAACCCTAGGACCAAGGGAAGACAGGGGACTTGAGGGACAAAAGCAGGAGGGAGATGGAAAAACCTATTGCTCCAACCCACCTGTGGCACGCCTGGAGTTTGATGAGAAAAAAGGGAAAAGGAGGGTTGTTCTGGAGGAATGTGCAGTTTGCAGGAGCAGCAGCAGGCCCATGTAAACGGATCTGCAGACTCTAGAAAGAATTTTTCCATGATGACATGCTCATCTGACAGTCCATCAAACCCCATCACCCGCTGCCCTGCCTCCTCGGGACACTGCCAGAGCATCTTTCCGCAGGCCGGGCAGCAGCAAAGTGGCCGGGAAAGAAGACTGCCTTCAACCCTGCCCTCAGAGAGCCGGCTGTCTGGTGGCCAAGCACTTACCTGTAAAAGCGCCAGGACATTTAGATCCTAACAGGCCAACAGGAGAGTGAAAACAAACACGAAGGCCCATCCCAAAGGTTTTCTACCAAATTCAGTCTAGGCTCAAAGCAGGAGAATGAGGAAGTACCAGGGCGTTGAGCATTAACGTTAAACAGATGGCAGAGAAAAGCAGACCCACTCAGCTTCCTTTGGCCTCAGCCTTTGTTATCTCAGATATCATCTTAGAGTGGAAAAGGTAGAGCTAAATTGTCAGGGAGCACAGGCCCAGACAGAGGAGAGCACACTCGCACCTCGAAGAGGGACTCGCGCCACTGACCAGGCAAAGACGCGTTTGGGTGCCACGTCTGGTCATCCCTGTGGAATCTCAGGGAACAGGGAAGATGTCAGAAGACAAGCTGTCCTGTTCTCACTCCAACAAAAAGGGTGGGTTCTTGGAACTCAAACCTGAACTCTTGCAGATGTCTAAATAGGGACAGCAGAATGTTTGGCACTTTCAGAAGAGGAAGTAAGTGGTGGGCACTAGAAGCCAGCACTGGTTCACCAAGAACAAGTCATGCTCAGCTAAGTGCATCTCCCTCTCCACAGGGACTGCAGAGCCTTGAAGTTTGGTGGAATGCAGTAAATCTAGATTTCAGCAAGACAGCTGAACAGATGGGTTTAAAGATAATCATTTGGACAAGACAGAGAGATGGAGGGTAGAGCTGGGATTAATTTGGAACCATTTAAAGGCAGATAAACAACCCTAAGAAGTATTGATCATTATCAACCTGGTCTGAGGGCTCCACTATCATGCCAAAGGCCTGGACTCTTTAATACTTTCATCAACAACGCAGTAAGGACTGAGATAGCTGGCCAAAGCATGCAAAACCGGGGACAAGGCTGGGAAGGGAAGACAGCTAACACACTGTGATGGCAGTTGGGACTCAGAATCATCTGGACTGGAAAAATGGGTCCAAACTAATAAGATATGACTTTTTAAAAAATTTTCATGTCATACCCTTTGGCTTAGAAAAGAGCAGTTCCCTAAGGGAAAAGTCTTAGGGTTTCAGCTGACCATAAACCAAACACAAGGGGCGGCGGTCAAAAGAAAAGTAAACACAATCTCACGCCGTGTCAAACACCTTATCTTTTCCGGGCTGGGAGGTAACAAGCCCACTGTTCTCTGCAACGTAAGTCACCCATGGGGCATGGAGCACCCTGTTCTGTTCCGGGTGTCAGACTTCATGCAATATGCTAGTTAACTGAGGGTGCAGGTCCAGGAGGGACCAGCAGTGGCTTTTTTGAACGAGCTCCCTCAGAAAGGGCCACCCTTGGCAGTTATCCATTTCTGACAACGGTTACATGTTTAGACCAAGGGCGACCCCGCACATCAGGGATGGTGAAGGTGCGGCCGGAATAGCCCTTCTCAGTGGGGTGTTAGCGCCTTTTGGAAGTGTTCGGAAATGCTGCCTGACTAGGGGTGATGGTGGGGTGCTGTATGTACCAGGCACTGTTCCAGAAACCAGGACAGAACAGCAAAGGGACAAAATCCATTCTGTCCCACACCTCTGTTCTAGTGGATGATGGGGGTGCTGCTGGCCTTAAGTGATCAGGGACCAGAAAGGGTAAATGCCCAGCGTGTCACAGGACAGCCTCCCCAGCCCCCTGACTATGACAATGCAGCTCCCACTGAAAATCATTTAGTAAGTGCTAAGGAGGCACCCAACGTAGGAGCTGGCAAAACAGAGTAACCAGAGACGGCCATTTGGTTTGGAGCTTCAAGGCAGAGAAGCTGGGCCCCCTGCTTTTTACCTCACTGACGGTGTGCCCTTTGGGGCACAGCCCGTGCCACAGCCCTGTGGCCTCCATTACCTCTCCACGTCACCCAGAAAGCAGCAGGCAAAGGGGGCATTCTGCAAGGCCCCAAGCCCCCTAGGGCCAGAAGCACCACCAAGCCCTACAACCATCAGTGACAGGAGCTATGCCTACTGGACAGGCCATCAGACAGGCTGAGAGAGGGTTAAGTGGCAGAACTGGTCTAGGTTCTAGACTATCCGGTTGCATGTCAGCCCGGCCCCCACCACCTCCCTCCCTTTACTGCTCTCCTTGGCCCTGGGCACCCCCAGCACCCCTTGTTATTGCCTCCTCACTGCCCACAGGTCCCAAGCAGCTGGTCTGGGAATTGGCTTGGCTCTATCGCAATGCTGGGGAGAGAAGTAGGATTTTAGTGCGGCTGTAGGTGAGACACCCCTTGCTGGGGCACATATATTTATCTACAGCCTAGCTGGTTCTTCCTGCAGCTTGGCCAGGCATCACTTGACAGGTGAGGAAAGCTAGGCTTGGGGAGCAGAGGTCCGATGGGAATGTGTGGTGCTGCTGTGCTCTGGCCAAGACGCCTCACTGGTATGGCTGGGGTCACGCAGGAGGAGGGGGTAGCTCCCCAGAGCAGAGAGGCTGGCCCAAGACAGAGGTCATCTCCAGGTTAGGGGAAGGGGCATGCAGAAGCCAGGCCAACACCCTGTCGGACAACACTGCGTCTGTCCCCGGGGTTAGAGCAACAGCTTTCGCAGGAGGCAGTGGCCCCTGTTCACTTGCAGGATTCTTTAACTTGGCTCCCAAGTTCATACAAGACAATATTTTCATTTTCCACATAACCCAGGAGAGTGATGGGAGAGGGGATCCTGCACACTGCCCAGGCCCGGCTCTTGACTGGGGAAAGCACAGCGCCCCCCACCAGCCCCATCGTCCTCATTATAAAGCAGTTGCAATTTTTTTGAGGGCTTACTATGCACCAAGTGTTGTGCTAAGCACTTTACATGCCCTTAACTCACTTACTGAGGACAGAATCCTGCTGGGAAGATACCATGATTTTTTCCATATTCAAATGAGGAGTTAAGGCTTAGAGAAATTATACTTACTAGTAGCTTAAGGGTAAAATGCTGAAACAATGAAGCCAGGAGAAGCCTGGCCGTCTGGGTCCCAGCCACTGTAATCCTGCCCTCTTCCCACGAAGGCCACAGGAAGGAGGCTCGCGCATACTTCCACCCCTTTGCACCAGCTGAAAAAACAGTGCCCTAAAACCAGTCCATCCACTCTGGCCTGAGCTCAGCATTTCTAGCCGGCCCAGGGCGGGGTACGGGCGACTTTCATGCCCCTTGCCTCATCCATGAGATCTGGGTTCCCGACAGCAGCTCCTCCCCCAGGCAGCTAGGGCTCCCCATGC